CCTTGTTGCCACCTGCCTTGAATACTTTGCAGAAATCCCTTTGTAGGTCTTCCTATTTTCATTCTTTCCCCCCTCCATTCTACTCTTCAGATTACTCCCAGACTAACCTTCCTTAAGCATAAATCTGGTTATGTCATTTCTCTGTGCAAAATCCTTAAATGGCCCCCATTTTCTACTGGATAAAACACAGTCGTCTGGCATTCAAGCCACTCCACAATTTATCAGTGCTATCTCATACTACTTCTTGCTACATATTCTGTGCTCCAACCAATAAGAGTCTTCAATTTCCTGGTACCCCATATTTTCTTCCCTTTACATCATTGCACCCCATGCCTTCCTCCCAATTTGTTGAATTTCTACCTTTCATTTAAAGTCCAATTCAAATATCTATTCTGTTCTCCCTGATTCTTATAGGAAATGTCTTTTTCCTTTTCTCAGACTAGCACCTATTTTATGTACTTAATGACTATTTTATAGTTCTTTGTCAAATCCCCCAATTAGATTGAAGTTGTGAGGGCAGGGATCATTTTTTTCTTATATGAGGCAATTGGGGTTAAGTGACTTGCCCTGTCACACAGCTAGTGAGTGTTATGTGTCTGAGGCTGGATTTGAGCTCAGGTATCATTTCTTATCTAAACCTTGTATCTCCCCGAGTGCCTCCAACTGTGCTTAGCACAATAGATGGGTGATTGAATTGAAAAGAGGAAGGGGAGGAAAGGAATGAGCATTCTTTAATATTAATATTCTATGCTAAGCACTTCACAAATATTATCTCATCTGATCCTCACAACTTTGTGAGGTAGGTGCTATTTCCATTTTATAGTCTAGGGAAATCAAGCAGTCAGAATGCTACCTCTAGCTCACATTCAGGTAGTGCTTTTCATACAATTGCCCTAGGGGGTAGATCATACAGATGATTATTATGCCCATTTTACAGATGAGAAATCTGAGGTTGCTCATAGCTGTTAATGTTGTTCAGTCTTATCCAACTCGTTGGCAAAGATGCTGAAGCAGTTTGCCATTTTCTTCTCTAGGTCATTTCACACATAAGGAAACTGAAGCAAATAGGGTTAAGTGGCTTACCCAGGATCGCCCAGTTAGTGTCAAAGGCAGGAGGATGAATCTTCCAGACCTGGTGCTCTATCCACTGTGCCACCTAGCTGCCTACCTGCATAGCTAGCAAGTGGGGGCTCAAAGCTTTCTAACTTCAAGGCCAACTCTTTTTACACTTTGCTGTTGCTCCCCAACTCACTCACAAGTATAGTGTAACAGCACAATTTAGTGAAAAATACTGGATTTGGAACCAAAGGACCTGATTTTGGATCCCACCTCTACCTGTGTGGCCTTGGGCTAGTCACCTGGTTTCATTTTTCTGATCTGTAAAATGAGAGCTCAAATCTAGGATCCTATAATTCTGTCTGCCCCTTCCCTCAGCACATGTCCTGTTATCCTTTGAGGAATCACAATCCTGACCTCACTGCAATACAAGGAATAGGACAGTAGACCCGGAAGTAAAGGGGTCCTTTGGGCATCAGAACTGCCCCCAGCATCCTTAATCTTTCCCTACCCCAATACCCGGAGAAAATATGCTTGCTCTTGCCTCCATATTCTGAACCTCGTCCCCTGAGCTGCTCAAGGATGAGGTCACGGCACTCTAGAGTTGGTGCAGATGCTCAATAATTCATGGGGCAGCTCTTAGAGGGGGCAGGTTCCTGAAGGGCAGCGGTGGAGACAGCAGAGTAAGACAATCCAGACTCAGGCATTCTTGCTTGACCTTGGCACATCTTCCCTCCTAAACTTTTCTATCATTCTTGGGAGGGTACCTCTCCCAGCCTCCTCTCACTGATAGGACTCAGGGTCGCAATTTCACCGAGACTTTCCTTTTTGCAGATAGAGTCTGTCAAGCTTATGGAGTCATCACTACCAAAAAAGCTTTAGATGAGGTTTACAGGTGGTGGGGGTGGGAAATTGAGAAGGGGCAGTAAGGAGGCAGCAGACCCTTTACTAGGGAAACTACTGAATACTTGGTTGTTTCAGTCATGCCTGACTCTGTGAATCCTTTTTAGGGTTTTCTTAGCTAAGATAACTGAGGTAGTTTGCCATTTCCTTCTCCATCTCCATCTTACAGATGAAGATCCTGAGGCAAACAGGTAAGTGACTTACTCAAGATCACGTATCTAGTGTCTGAGGTCAGATTTGAACTCTTGGAGATGAATCTTACTGACTTCAGACCCAGCGCTCTGTCCACTGCACCACCTAGCTGCCAACCTAACGAGTTCTACTAGGAGTCAAGAGCATTTGGACAAGCTACTTACTCCTCTGGGCCTGTCTTTACTGTTATAACATCCTAACTTACCTGTGTGACTTTGGGTAAGTCATTCTCTAGGCCTTAGTTTCCTCATCTTTAAATGGATTGGTCTATATGAGGTACTTAACCGAAGTCTGTGAAGTTTTTACACATATAATATGTAATTATGTTACTTAATATATCATATAACACACACACACACACAACTATACTTCAATAGAGTGGGCTGCCTCTTTAACCGTTTTATTTTATACATTTAAATGTTATCTTAGAAGTCCAAAGGCTTCACCGGATTGTCAAAGGGGTCCAAGGGACAGAAAAGGTTAAGAACCCATGGTCAAGATCAGTGCAGTCAAATTCAAACAGAAATTGTTCAGCATGTGTCCAACTCTTCGTGACTCTACTAGGGCTTTTTTTGGAAAAGATATTGGAGTGGTTTGCCATTTGCCTCTCCAGCTCATTTTCCAAATGAGGAAACTGAGGCCAAGAATTAGGGGACTTGGCCGGAGTCACACAGCTCATAAGTGTGTGAGGCTGGATTTGAACCCATGTATTCCTGACTTCAGGGCCTGCCAATCTCTACAAAAGGATCCCAGCAGTTTATTCACTTAGTTGAAAATGTTACCTATGTTTTATTATGTTTCTGTTTTGTTAAGCATTTGCCAATTACATCTTAATCTGATTCAGGGTACACTAGGGAGTGTCTGAGCTATTTGTGGTCCCACCCTGTGATTGACACCTCTGGTCTAGATAACCTCCAAGGTCCTGGGTAGCTCTATGTGATCTTCCCATAATGGCAGCCCAGCTCTTGCACGGTTGTAGTGAAGATAATACCAGATAACAGATGGTTAAGTGCTCACAATTCCCTTTCTCACTAGTGCTTTAGCTTTTCCCTAAATCCCTAGACATCATCTCTCAGGGACCAAGGTAGCTCCACTGTTCTCATTCTGTTCCCAGAGAATCTGTAAGCAACAGTAGCCTCTGGGGTATATTTGGTTAAGAGCTCAACCAACAATGGAAGCCCTGACCTCTAGAAATCATTAACCAGGAACCCAGAACTAGAACTGAGCAAAGCTGAACTGCTGTATTAGTAAACACGGTGTTATTGTTCAGTTGTGTCCAACTCTGTGACCCTATTTGGGGGTTTCTTGCCAGAGATACTGCAGTGGTTTGTCATTTCCCTCCCCAGATCATTTGACAGATGAGGAAACTGAGGCAAACAGGGTTAAGTGACATGCTCAGGGTCTCACAACTAGTGCCTGAGGCCAGATCTGAACTCAGTCTTCCTGCCTGGCACATAGTAAGCACTTAATTTCTACCATAAGCCCAACGGGCGGTCATCCAACCCACAGTGGAAGACCTCCAGTCAGGGTAAACTCACCAGTTCCAAAGACAGCCCATTTTACCTTTGGGCCTAATTGGTAGAGAGCTTAGCATGGTGTCTGGAACACCTATGTACTCAACAAATGCTTATTGACGTAGGATATTTTTTTGATACGTTCCATTCATTGCTCCTAATTCTACTTTTTGGGACCAAGAATACATCTAGTACCTCTCCCACCATGTAACCTATCAATATTTGAAGGCAGATGTCATGTCTCTTCAACCAATCCTCATCTAGCATGAGCTCGGCACTAGTCAGACCACAATCAAAGTACTTTGGCCAGTTCTGGGCACAATTTTTTTTTTTGGCTAGACAATAGGGTTAAGTGACTTGCCCAGGGTCACACAGCTAGTAAGGGTCAAGTGTCTGAGGTCAGATTTGAACTCAGGTCCTACTGACTCGAGGGTCTATCCACTGTGCCACCTAGCTGCCCCTATGATTTTGTTTAAGACGGACATTAGTAAGCTAGACCACTTCAGAGGGAGACCAAAGTAGACAATGAAAGAGATTTAGATGACAGTATCTTGTCTTCAAACATTCTCTAAATGTCTCTGAAAGCTTGTATAGAACAGGTAATAAGACTTCTTCTATGTAGGCTACAATAGAATCAATTAATGAAAGTTAACAAGAATTTATTAAATACCTACTGTGCGGCAGGCACTGTGCTAAGTGCTAGTTTCAAAATAGCAGATTTTAATTCAATATAATGACTAGACCTGTCCATTTGTGATATACCCTTTCCCACAGGGCAAATAATCATAATCAAGCAGATCAAAGGTTCATTGGGAGCCAGCATGGTGGAGTGAACAAAGAAGGTTAATTTTGTAATTAAAAGACCTAGGTTCAAATCCATGTCCTTCCACTGGCATAGAGTGCCAAGTTTGGAGTCAAATGACCAGGGCTCAAATCTTACTTAGCTCTGCTACCTGTTTGACCCTGGGCAAATTACTTGGCCTCTCTGGAGCTGTTTCCTCATCTCTTCAATGAAGGAATAAGGCCTTTACCTAACTCTAAAACCCAAACGATGACCAAGAATTCTTGCATTGTAGCTTTCTCTGTGCAGCCAAGGTCCACCATCAAGAGTGCCTTTCTTTTCTCTCCTCTCCCAGAGCAGTGCCATTTTCTCAGTCTGCTCAGACTGTCTGTCTGTAGGATTATGAGGCCAGAGTCGGTGACCTGAGCTGCATCCTACCTGTTCACATGCCTCAGGTGATCATTCAGAGACCCTCCAGGAGTGCTACATTTCCTGCCCAGCCCTGTGACTGGTGGGCCCATCCACTCTGCAGTAGAGTCAGATGCAAACATTAATTACACAAAACATAGTAAAACTTTATTCACTCAAGGGGATGTTTGGGCCACTAACTAAGATCAAAGGAACATGAGAGATGGATGGGGCTTTCAACTTCACTTCCGCCCTTTCCATAGAGAGGAAGTAATACTTAGGTCTACCTATATATAACCCAGGTTACAGGTAAAATAGAGGGAGGGTGAAGGCAGGGCAGGTCACAGCCAGCAGGCACGGATGCAATTCACAGGCTTCTTCTTGTGCTCTCCATCCATCCATCCTTCCTCCACCTCCCTGACCCTCTGTCTCCATATATTAGAGTTCATTAAGCTTAGCCCCAGAAAAATACTGTTTGCAGGGAAAAGGACATAGGTACTACAGTCAAGAGAATATAATGTGAGGGTACTCATTGCACCTGGTAGCACCCATAGCTAAACCCTATTCTGGGCACTTGAGGCCTGGTCAGAGTGCGGGAGCTAAGGGTGCAGACTCCTTTTGATTTCACAGGGAACCTTCATGAGGAACAGGAAACCACTGCCAGGTAACAAGGACCACTCCTTCTCCGTCTTTGGATTGATCGCACTATTTCCTAGATAACCAGATGACAGTAAGCCCCCTGCCCCATTCCTTTCTCTGGGTGGATCCTATTTGGTAAGGTGTTCCTTCTATTTCAAAATAACTGTTTCCTTCCTATTCCCCTAATGGAAGTACAATACAGGGGGATGTGGGAGGGAGTATGAACTTTTGATATCTGACCGCAGGAAGTAACAAAGTGTATTCCCAGACCTTACAAGCAGAAAGAGTTCATCTGTAGATGCCTTGAGTCTGAGTCCTGGTCCCTATCCCATTCTGGTCCAGAAAGAGTATATAGAGCTCATTCTCCCATCCTGTATCTCTTAAGGACTCTTCTAGTTTTAGCCCAGAGATGTCCAATCAATCAGGCCTTCCTGCTGCTTCCTGTCCCTTGTGTTGTTCCAGCTGGAGCTGGCCATCTACACTGACTAGGGTTGCAGAAGAAAGTGAAAGGGGACATAAGGGAAAAGACTTCACAAAAAAGAGAAAGAAAGAAAGAAAGAAAAGGCCAATGGGCACCCAAACAGCATCTCTGCTTTTCCCAAGGCAGCCCAGCCCAGCAAATTTCATACCCTTCTTGGCCAAGTTTCCCGGGAAGCATGGAGAGGGGGTGGCTTCCAAGTAGGACAGTCCATGTAGGCAGCATCCTCTCTGATGGATGGAGCAGAGAGCAGAAGGCCAGAGTGCAAAAGGCCTCATGGGCCAGAAGACTAGTATCAAGGGAAGGTGGGGAGAGTGAACACAGCACTGAAGTGGCTCAGATCCAGGAACCATGGACCAGGAAGTGTCATCACGAAGCTCACAGTAGAAGAAGCTGTTACTTCTCCAGAAGGGTGTTAGCCAAGAGCTCTTGCTTCCTGCTCAGGATACCTATCATCCTTGGCCATTTGCTTCCTTTCACCTTCATGGGTAGCAAACCCAGGGGAACAGAGCTGGAACTACCTACCTGCAGGGACACCCCCAGCTCAAGTCAGTTCCAGGAGTCTGACCCTCTCCAGAGAAAACACAACTGTAAGAAAGGAATAGCATGGTCTGTCAAAGGGGAGAGGGTTGGAGTGGGCAGCAAGGGGCATGGCTACATTAGTTAGGTCCCATGATGTGGGCCAAAGAAGAAAGAGGCACCTGAGATGTCAGCTCACAGTGGGAAAGGTAACCTAGAGGAAATACAAAATACAACCAAAGAGACCCTTCCTTCATTCTGAAGAGCTCGAGGTGGCCCCAGAAGAGGTTGTGTCTTTGGGTGGGGCAGGGAGTACATCAGGGTGGGTGGGAGCATAGGGACTGATCCTTATGTCTCACAGTTTCCTGATAGAGAGGCCCAGAGACAGGCAAAAGGGGGACATAGGGAGGCGAGTCCTGCTCTTCCCAGATTAGACATCCATCGTGGGCAGGCAGCCCGTCTAAGTCCACTGCTTCAGATCTGCTGAATCCGGGCTCCCTCCTAGTTTGCATTACAAGGCCTGGAAAGATGCTGGGTTCTGCACAGCCTGTGTAAGGAGGAATGAGGACATCAGAGTGGCTTGCAGTCCAGGGGAAGGAGGGAGTCTACCATCTCATTTTATTGTAGGGGGAGTGATCCTAAAGTAACCAAGAGAAAGAACAATAATCAAAAGGGGCTGGGGCTACTAAAGTTTGAATCACCCAGGCTCTTACCCTTCATCCCTAAGGGGGCGGGGAAATAAAAAAGAAAAGTCCCAGGAGGTTTGTGCAGTCTCACAATCACAAGAAAACACAAGATGTTTTGGAAAAGTTTCCTTATTTTCTTCTCTGATCTTTCCCACACTTTCAATCAAAACATTTCCCTGGAAATGAGTGCCAGAACCACATAACATTTAGCCAGTAGGGAAGAGATGTTCCAAAGACTAGGGTGACATGGCTTATCTCAAGCAGATGGGACAAACAGCCAGGACACCAGTCAGACGCCTAGCTAGAATCCTGAGGCAGCTCTGGCTACTACGAGCCTTCACATGCATGTGACTTGGGAGCATGTCACTTCCTCACTGGGGGTCAGTTTCTCTGTAAGATGAGGAGGCTAGACCAGGTTATAAGCACTTTGATTGGTCTCTTTTAGCTCTGACATTTTATGCTACATTCTCAGTGCTAAAACATTGGGGTTACTGTGCAGGGGATCAGATCAAAGCCTAGCTATCCTCCAGAAGGGTCCAACCTTTCCCAGGAATGAAATGAAACAGATATTGATAATAAAACCAACTAGCATCATTTTCTCCCAAGCCCCAGGTGCTGTAAGAAATGCTGTCACACTGCTTGTTTGAGCCTTGCTCTCCCATAATTAAGTGTTTGATCTCCAGTTCCAATCATACTCCCAGAGTATTCTTATCGAGAGCTTTTCCTCTAGAGAAGCTACCATCAATCACTTCTTAACAGATACCTTGCCCTGGGCTACCTGTCCTATTGTTTTCTTTAAGTGCCTTCAACATATGGAGTTACTGTGGGGGCCCCTGTGTATAGATTAGATGAAATGTAGATAGAGTAATAGCAGCTGTTCCCTCCAATAAGCCTGGATCAGGGATTTGATAACACTAACACAGTGTACTGTTGTACATGTAAGTTTTATTCCTAGGAAAGATGGGACTCTCCCAGGGGGCAACTGGGCTTTGATCCAATCACTTGTGCAGTGACCCCAATGTTTTTACTACTGTAGAATGTCAGAGCTGAAAGAGACCAACTATAGCGATTATCTGATACAATCCCCTCATTTTACAAAGGAGGAAACTGAGACCCAACTAGAAGTCACTTGCTCAAAGTCGCACCCATTTGGATGTCTATTGTGGGGGAGTGTTTGGGGGTTTAATAATCCTATTAAACATATTTTCACATTAGCAATGTTATAAGTAAATACACAGTACTGTTATACTTGATTAATGTTTCTCTGTGTGAGCTGCTTCTACCAAGGGGTGGTGCAGACTAAAAGGTGGGAATGGCGTCTCCAAAGAGTGAGTGTTAAATACTGTACAACTTTAAACAGAGCGGATAAGTGAACCATTTGACTTCCATAAGATGAGCAGAGTGGATGAAGGAAACCCTAAGGCCCCCTTTGGCTCTAAAATCTAAGATCCCGCGATCAGAATCAAATGCAGAAGAGAAAGTATGGTGGTGGAGAGGGAAATGGTGATAAAAGTCTACAGGAAAGGGAAAGGGGTGGTGTAAAGGGAAGAAAAGAGAGTGAGTTAGGGTCTCCAGAGTAATGAGGTCAGAAACAACATGGCCAGAGGAATGAATAATAAAGCATAGATATATTTATTAGATGCCCTTGTTCCTCACAGAGGAGCAAGGGGTGGGACAGAAGAGTTCATGAAAGCTCCTGAGCCTATAGGGATCTCTCTAAGCAGATCCAGAGAATGGGAGGCCCAAATTCAGTGGCCAAACAATGAAAGGATACTATACAGCCAGAGTGCTGGTGGCACACAGGGTTGGCTCTTCTACTCTCCAAACACTGTTGAGGTGGGTGGGAGGCAAATGGGATGACCACACCAACCTTGGTAGGAGGGTCAGGAAGGATCTGAGTCAAAGGCTGCCTGCTCAGTCAGTGGTGGGGAGAGGGCTTCCTTCATAATCTCCACCTGAGGCCCCAAGTCAGAGGGCATGTCTGCCCACTCCCCTTCTAAAACCTTCCCATCCCTTTGGTTATGGGGCTCAATCCCATGAATAGGGGTTTCTAAAGACCTGCGCATTCTTCCCATCCTTCTGTGATGCTGCCTGATGGCTCTGGGTGGTGTACAGGTCTTCAGCCCGAAGGGTTGAGTTGGCACTGCCCATCACGTGACTGCTATTGGCAGTAGCCCGAGGGAGGATGACATCATAGGGTCCTTCAGACTGGAGAGAAAAGAACAGAAGGCCTCATGGTCAGGGATGAAGATCACAAAAGTAGATGAAAACGGACCCAGGTTCCCACTAGACAAAAAGGTCTATGCCTACTCACACCCCTTTTTCTCATTGCCGGGATGCACCAGAATTCTCAGAATGGCCAGCCCACAACCTGATAAGACTGTCATTGATTCCTAGACCACTATGAAAGAAAGAGACTGACCTCTGGACCCCTATTCTTGGGCTGGGTCATCAGAGCAGCTACCTTGTGATATGATGGCTATGATGGCTGACCTTTTTTGAACTAGGTGAGGGGATAATACAAGTTCTTCTTAGAGTGTTCCCCTAAAACCACCTCAGAAGGACAAATGGGTTTCCAAGAAATCCCATAATTCCAGGATAGGCTGGATGGTAAATCACCGGGGAATGACATTGTTTGTCTTCCTGACACATCTCATCCTCAGTTTCGGAGCCTCCTAAGATTCACCAGAACATTCTCAGTTGCCATCCCAGATGATTTACACATTATCTTGGTACTCCCTCTTCCTTTGTACGTGTTCACACCTGTCCCTTGCCTCTCCTCTGGGTTAGGCCTGGGCTTTCAGTGATTTTAAGATTTATAAGCAGTTGTATACCTGGCATGTAACTGGCTTGTTTTTCAGTTGTTTCAGCTATGAGAACCAATTGAGATAATGTCCTTAGCATGTTGGTGTCATTTTCCAGGGCCCTCAGAACATTTAATTCAAGTGTCCTGCCAATAATTCAGGACTCGGACCAATGAGAAGAAGGGAGGTTATGGTGCTCACTTAAAGAGAGTGATGGCCCTGTTTCTATGGGTGATCAGAAGTAGCACAGTGCCTAAAGTGTCAGGCCTGGAGTCAGGAAGACCTGAGTTTAAATTCAGCTTCACACCTACTAGCTGTGTGACCCTGGTCAAGTCATTTTACCTCTATGTTCCTCAGTTTCCTTATCTGTAAAATGAGGATAACAACAGCACTTACCTCCCAGGATTGCTGTGAGGATCAAATGAGATAATAATTGTAAAGAGCTTAGCACAATACCTAGCATATAGGAGGCATTTAATAAATGCTTATTCCTTTTCCTTTTTTGTTGTTATTCAGCTGTTTCAGTCATGTCTGACTCTTCCTGGGTTTTCCTGGCAGAGATACTAGAGTAGTTTGCCATTTCCTTCTCCAGCTCATTTCACGGAGGAGGAAACCGAGGCAAACAAAGTGAAGTGACTTACCCTGGGTCACACAGTTTTTAAGTATCGAAGGGGGAATTTAAACTCAGGTCTTCCTGACTCCAGGCCCAGTGCTCTATTCACTGCACTACTTAACTGCTCTCACTTCCTCTCTAGTCTTCAGACTAGGGAATGGAGGGGAGTTGGGGAATGAAGAGGAAAGAAGAGGTGAGAGTATGGGAACAGACAGCTATTTTGGTCCCAAGGCATCCTCCAAAGCCTCTGTGTCACCCTGCCCCCAACCCAGGAGAGGAGAAAAGGTGAGCCTAACCCAAGGGACCTCCTCTTGCTTCCTGCCAAGGGAGGTCACTGACCCCTTCCCACAGATTCTGCCAACTCTTGGAAGAGCTGAAACTCCACAGAGCTCACAGAGCCAAATCCAGCTCAGTCGTGTTTCCCGTCCCTCCACTTCCCACTTAGCTGGTCTGTTGGGAGGAATCTGTAGGAGGTTTACGGTGAGGACTGTAGGGCCTTTTCCCCTAGGTTGGGGCTTTCTTTGGGTGAGGTAGAGAGCTCCTCTGAAACCTTCTTGGGGTAGCTATTGCAAGGGGGCAACAACTCTGAAATCCTGAGGCTTGTTTCCACCACTGTTTGCCCTTTTCCTGAGTACTTAGGAACTGTAGAAAGGCAGAAAAGATATTAGGTAATTTGGCTGTGACCCTTTCCTGGTATTATAGGTAACCCTGGCCAGGCTATTGCTACTAGAGCTTCTTTTTTTTTTTTTATTAACTTTATTAACTTATTTTGATTTTTTTATTAACTTATTTTGATTTATCACTTCTATATGCTTTTGAGTTTAAAATTTTTCTCCCCCTTCCTCCCCACCACCCTCCCCAAGACGGCACACAATCTGATATAGGCTATACATTTACATTCCTATTAAACATATTTTCACATTAGCGATGTTATAAGTAAAAATTAAAACCAATAGGCGGAACCATCAGAAAGAGGAAACAAAACTCAACAGAAGAGAAAAAAAAATTCAACCTCCATAGTTCTTTCTTTGGGTGTGGATAGCATTTTCCATCATGAGGCCTCTGGAGATGTCTTAGATCCCTGTATTGCTGGGAAGGGTTAAGTTTATCAATATTAGTCATCGCACAACGTGGCTGTTATTGTGTACAATGTTCTCTTGGTTCTACTCACTTCACTCGACATCAAACCATACAAGTTTTCCAGGTTTTAGAGCTTCTAAGAGCAAAGGATTTGGAGTTTGGAGACCTAGATTTAAATCCTGGCTCTCACATGTGACTGTGTAACTGTGGAGAGTAAGGCATTTCCTACTTCTTTCAGGCTTTTTTATCTATCAAGGAGGGATAGCAATACTCCCTTCCTCACTGGGTTTCCATGAAGGAAGCAGCTTATAATTCTTCAGGCATATGTCAATGTGAGCTGTTATAATGACACCACCTATGACACTGGGTTTCTGGAAGTCTCAAAAGAGATGATTTTATGTAAATCGTTTTGTAAACTTTAAAAAGCTACTTAAATGAAACATTATTATTGCTATTAGATTTGGCTACCTGGGTACAACTTACTAGCAAGGGGTTTTCTTTCCCCAGAGCCTATGCTCTATCCTTACCTGTGCTGTCAGCATCCTTGCTAATGATGACATCAGTGGGGATGACTGTCAAGGGTTACTCCAGAGGAAGAACATACATTCTTGCTAACCCTCTGTCCCTCCCCCAGTGCAATGGGATTCAGGCCCCACAGTTCATGAAGTCAAAGGGTATTAATGTATCATCGCTGGAAAGAGGAAATTTCAGGATAAGAGGAATGTGTCAGGAAAGTCAAATTTACTGCATCTGGAAGAGTACCCAACCCAGCCCTCCCTTCCCCTCAGAAGATCCCACTTGGCCTTTTACAAGGTCCAAGCACTTAGGTCTTATACGGGGAGAGGGTTTCCCAGGAGAGGCAACAGTCTCTTCCTTCAGAACCCTGAAAAAGAAGGAGGAGGAGGGTTAAAGAATTGATTCCCCAAGGCCCTTCATATACCACGATATATGCAGAATGAAACACACATTCCAGCCAAGGTGGGGCTTGGTTTTGCTTGATTATTCAATGACAACCTTTATGAGGCTCTGGACCCAATCCCAAGGAAAATCACTCACCAGGCCTTTGTGCATCAGGGCCATCTCTGTGGGCTGGTACACACTTGTCAGCAGCTGACCATTGTACCCGCTGTATGGTGACACAGGTCTCTTGGCTGCAAGACAGACATAAAGAGGGTAGATGGAGAGTCAACATCTGGGGCCCATTCATCTCAGGGACCAAGCAGGACTGGCCTAAAGGCAGGGAGCGAGTTTGGAGGACAGGGGTAGGGCTGGGTGAGGTGCACCTGACAATGATCCCTTGGCTGAATATAGCTGGTATGCCTGAGGATACTTGACATCTGTCCATTAAGAGGGTCCTCCTGACCAATAAGGCTATTGAAAAATCAAGATTCAAGTGAATGTATCCATGGTAGATCTCTATGCTCCTGGAACCAGGGATGCTCCTCCAGCCTCTTTGTTATCCCTCACCTGGAGGTCTGTTAATTTCACCCAAGGGCACTGAAGGGTGTTTTATCGGTGGTTCCATTTGCTCTCCATCACCCCCACAGCCCAGATGGCTGTCTCCTACTGGGGCTTTGTTCACAAAGACTCCGGCCCTGGATCTCATTTCTCCAAAGCCATCCGGTCAGCTGTTTTTACATCCTCCTTTGTCCCCTCAGTGACAGTGGCTGAGAAGGGGAAATGGCTCTGATTGCCATTTTCAGCTTCCTTACCAGCTGCCAATCCAATAAAATACTCCCTGGCCCTGGAATAAGGGCTAACTAAGCTTATCATATCTGTGGACCCAAGAGATTTGTCAGTAGCGAAGAGAACATTACACTTGAGTGTCAAGAAGATCTGAGTTCAAATCCTACCTCAGACATTTGGTAGGTAGGTGACCCTGGGCAAACTACTTTAACCTTTCTGTCTCTATTTCTTGATTTCTAGTGTTGAGAATCATATGAGACTAATACATATAAAATGCTTTGCAAACCTTTAGCCCAGGGCCCTTTGGCAAGCCTCTAGGGCTGCTTTCAAGCACAAGAATGCCTCTCTCTGCCAGTGGGAGTTGGTTTCCCTGGTTTCTCTGGCCCCTAGTTGGACGTTTACCTGTTTGTTTGGGTAGGAAGGTTCAAAAGCCCCTAGGGCTTTACAAGAGACTGTGCTGAAGGGCCCACAGCTCAGATGGCTGGCTCCTGACAGGACTGTCTGTCCGCAAGCTGAGGGACCACAACCTATATACGGCTTCCTAAGTGCTAGGCTCAGTCTATTGATTTTTCCATTTTGAAAAACAAACATATGCACAAAACCCCAACGAGCTGCATTTCCTGAAGTGTTTACTTTGGGAGAACAAAAGCACAGAGCTATTTGGCCTTGGCAAACAGGTACAGGGGCTGAAAGTGGGAGCACTGCAAAGGCCAAAGGCTCCACTCTAATCACTCCATTGCATTTCCCATCATTTCCTGCCAGCTTCCAATCACCAACTTGACCTATCCCATATTCTACATTCAAAGCTGAGAAATGTGAACTCCCCAAGATCCTATACTGCAGCCTAAGGAGACAAGGGTTAAAGGCCAAATGTTTGTATGGATCGATCAAGATTGATTCCCTTTGCCAACTCTAGGATGATGCGGCTGCTGACGGAAGAACAGGAAAGATCTACGAAATCAGGGATTCCCTCTGTCTATTACTCTAACCTCCAGGAGTCCACAGGGGTCAGGTTCTATGGCCATAAAGGCAGTGTTAATAACAAGGGTATAGAGTAAGGAAGTTCAGTCTTCAGGTCTTAAGGGCCATTCTATATGGCTTTCTTGGGACAAAAGGTTAGCTATGTGGAGTGAATCAAACTCACATGTTTCTTTGGAGCTCTTCCTGAACAAGTGTCCTCATACTAGCAATACTTCCCTACCAAGGACTTGACTGGGATTTGCTGAATCTCCCTTTTCTCCTTAAAATCCCTCCCTCCTTTTGTCAAAGACCAGTAAAAACCCAGGGGCAAGCTTGAATCACAGGGCCTAGAAGCAAGGCAGATGTGGATAGAAAGAACATTAGGGGTTGATCAAAGGTGATGGCCTGGGTGGACAAAAGATGGACCATCATTTTCATTTAGTTAAATTGATTTTTAACTTGAAATAAAATGTTTAAAAAGAGGTGGACGACAAAACAAATTCTATCTTTATAGTCCCAAGGGCATGCCCTAGTCTTAAGATCTAGCTTTCTTTCCTTTCCCTTGTCATAACTTGCCTTCTCCATAAATAAGTGCCCCAAGTGTGAGGGGTATATAGCACTCACAGTTTAACCTAATTCAGGGTTGCCTAATTCTTTACTAGGGTTTGTTGGGGTGATGGCTCTTTGACCCCACCATCTCTGATTTGTAAAAAACAAACAAACAAAATAAACAAAAAAAAGCTACCCCAGCGAGAAAGGACAATACTCAGAGCTAAACTCTAGAATGGTCTTCTCCATTCCACCTTTGTAGGCCCTGTACTTATAGGCACAGTGCCTGCCAAGTAGCCAGCATTGCATCGAATTACACGGAATTCCTCTCATTTCCACAAAGCAGTACAATTTTTGTCTCACCCACACATATACACCACTTCTCCCAACCCTCCAATGACAGGTGTTAATCAAGAAAGAGAAAAGGACCCAATATTCTCCCTACCTACCTGAGGATGGCTCATCCATTGAGAAAGCCTTGTTTTCCACAAACATGCTCTGTCCCTTCTTCTCCTTCAGGATGGTTTCATAGCCCACACCCCGGGTGGGGTAGATATCCCCTTGGTAGCTCTGCTCTGGGCTGGGCTTGGTCACCTGAGAGACTTCAGGGATTATGTAAAAGAGGACAAAGGCCCAGGCATTGGCAGCCAAGGCTATGGCCAGGGTGGGGTCATCCCAGGTAGGGCTGTTCCGCTGCTCATTGCCATAGGTGTACATAACAATCCATACCACCCAAATGGCAATGGAGGTGGTCGTGGTAAGCAGCACAAAGACCCCATGCTTCCGCCAACGCCTGAAGCGGCCACAGAGGATGGGCCAGGCCCCTACAAAGGCGACCAGCAACAAGAGCATGACATAAATGAGGGCCATGACGAAGTCCATGTTGGCAATGGCGCAGGGGGATGCCTCACCCCAGCTGGTACTCTTGTTGTCATGAAGACCACCTGCCCCTCCATGCCCACCCCTGACCAATGTGATGATCAGCCACTCTGTGTTGATAATGACCTCCACCAGGGCCAAGAGCAGGGCCATGGCAAAGATGACCCAGCCCCGAGGTGCCTGGTTCTTCCGGGCCAGGAAGTTGAGGGCAAAGACATGGGCACCCAGACAGGAGAAACAGATGCCGAAAAGGACACCAAAGAGAAAACGCCTCGAGGCACAAGTAGAGAAGTCAGGCTTGACCACACAGGCAAACACGAGGCAGAAGAGGCCCAGCGTCCCCAGCAGGAAAAACACCTGGGTCCCTAGCAGGCTCCTCTTCTTGCTATCCTGCACAAAGGGAAGGCTGGCCACCAGGATGATGGTGAGGACGAAGGTAGAGATAACACCAGCCCCAGCCAAAGCCTCCAGGACAATGCCCCAAGCCCCTGAGCGGTCACACAGATTGTAGTAGAGGGGGTTGAGGTCTGGGCTGCACCCAGGTGGAGCACGGACTTGGGCCTGATTCCTGGGGAGGAGTAGCAAGACACCCAGGCAGGTCAGGAGGGCCTGGGGAATAGCCATCCTGGATCCAGAGCCAGTCCAGGCTGGGTCCTTGAAGGAGCCTGGAAAAGGAAGAGGAAAGGAAGAAAGAATAAATTTCTCAAAGGTCATTCCCATACACATTCATATATACATGAAGTAAGACACATTTATGGTCAAGGTGATAATGTTTTGCTTGACTATAAATATTTCTTTACAAGGTTACAATGGTTTACAAAAGAGAGAAAATAAATGCTTGTTGAGGCAGCTAGGTGGTGCAGTGGACACAGCACTGGACCTCAAGTCTGGAGAACCTGAATTCAAAAGAAACCTCAGATACTTACTAGCTGTGTGACCCTGGGCAAGTCATTTAACATAGTCTACCTCAAAAAACAAAAACAAAAACAAACAAAAAACACAACCCATGAAAACAAATGCTTGTTAATTGAAAAAAAAAATTTAAGATGCACATAAAACAATGAAATAGATCATAATAGGCAATGAACAAAACAACTTTTCAGGAATTATTATTCTCTTTATATTCACTATAAAAAATGCAAAAACCACAAACAAAAATCAATTGTCTCTAATTTTCACTCAGCAGAAAGTTTTCATTCTATTTTCCAATAAAAAAATTCCCCAGGAAAGACTTACATGAACCCATGCTGATGGCAGTGAGCACAAACAGGAGAACATTGTACACAGTAAAAGCAACATTGTATAATGATCAACTATGATAGACTTAGCTCTTCTCAGCAATACAACAATCCAAGACAATTCCAAAAGACTCATGATGGAAAATGCTATTCACAGCCAGTGAAAGAACTATGGAGTCTGAATGCAGATCGAAGCCTGCTATTTTCACTTTTTTTTGTTTTGCTTTTTCTTTCTCTTCATTTTTTTCCCTTTTGTTCTGATTCTTCCTTCACAACTTGACTAATGTGGAAATAAGTTTAACTTATTTATTGTATATGTATTTGTATCATGATTGTATATGTATTACCTATATCAGAATGCTTGCTGTCTTGGGGAGGAGAAAGGGAAAAGAGGGAGGGAGAAAAATTTGGAATTCAAAATCTTAAAAAAAATGAATGTTGATTTACTTGTAATTGGAAAAAAGTAAAATACTATTAGGTGGAAAAAAAATTCCTCAGGGATGCATATATAGTCTCCAAGCCAGTGGTCAAACTTTTTTGATCAATATACACCTATCTAGAAAACATTTTTTGAGCATACACTCCCAATAGATGAATATTTACACGAGGTTTATGCACGAACTACTGTACTAACATGTATATTATATGCAACTGTCACACTAACATAGTATGTAAACCATATACAAAAGCTATTAGGATGAGAATGATTAAATAGATTTTTTAAAAATAAATTTTCATTTTATTCATCAATGATGCAAAAATGTTCCCACTGAAAATATCACATGATATGTTTTAATGAGAGTAATGTGATTGAACAAACTTTATTTTTTCTGAAAATGCTGGTTTAGTGCTTGGTAATACGATGACTTGGAAGGTCTGGATCTAAGTTCAGGTTACTTCAAAGCTTTTGTCATAGCAGAGAAATATTTCTCATGAAGATACAGAGACCCAAATGGACGAAGTTAGGGGACGCAGTGGATAGAGTGCTGTCAGGATGACTGAGTTCAAATCCTACCTCAGACACTAGCTATACAACACTGACAAATCACTCAACCTGTCTGCCTTCGTTTCCTCAACTACAAAATGGAGATAGTAACAGAACCTACCTCTCACATTACTGTGAGGAACAAATGAGATCACATTTGTAAACCACTTAGCACAGTGCATGGCACACAGTAGGTGCTTATATATAAGCTATTATTATTCTAATGGCAAAGCACTCCAGTATCTTTGCCGAGAAAACCCCAAATGGGGTCATAAAGAGTCACATACCACTGAAAGTGACTGAACAATTCTTATTAAGAAGGGTATCATTCAATCTCACCCACCAATTTTTGTTGAAATTCACTGAGGCCAGGGTTTTTTTTTTAAATGTCATAGTCCCCTTTGGCATCTCTATTTTGATCCTATCAGGCTTCTCCTTGCCACGAACTCCCCTCCCTACCACTGCCCCCCAACAACGACTTGAGCCTTCCCCATTCTCTTGCTAAAGATCCTGGGTGCACAAGAAGTTCTAGGTCCAGGGAAGCACTTTCCTTAGTTCCTGGCCACCTGGACTCATAGACTCCCTTTATTGATGTTGATCATGATGTACCCATCTGTCCCAAATAACCCCATCCATGTTAGGCACAGTGCCTTGCCCAGAGCTAAGTGCTACATAAATGTTAGCTATTATTTTTTATCATCATCATCATCATCATCATCATCACCACCACCACCACCACCACCACCACGATCAAGTGAAGCCCAGAAAAAGGGTTCCTGCTCCTGGGGAGGCTGGATCCACCTCTTTCTGGGCATCCAGGGCAACCCAGCAGTATAGAGAATCTGCTACTGCCGAAGTTGTGGCTGCAGGGGATGGGGCAGCAAGGACAGGGGCATTCAGTGAATGACTGCCTGCAGTCTCTCCCTTCCTCCCCCCCACTTCCCCCTCCTCAACCAGCAGCCATCATTGCTGAACACATAGTACAGCCCACACTGGATGCAGACTCACTAACCTCAGTCAGGCTGGAGACATTATCGACAACCAAATTGTTCACTCAGCATTTCTTCTTTCCCCTCAGATTGTTTCAGAGAACTCCTTTGGCACTAGTACTCAGAACTACCCTAAACCCCCTTCCTGTAAAGCCTTCAACCCATAAGCAATCATTCATCAAATATTTATTAAGCAATTACAGTGGGCAAAAATGGGGTCAGACTATAGAGAAATCCTATTAGACAAGTTGGTCTCCCTTTGGATGCCTACCATCCTCCTAGGCATCTAGTACCCTTATGTTCTCCCTATCAATTACAGAACGTATGGAATAAATAAATTCACCCTGAGAGATTGTCCTAGGACCAGGGTTTGAATCCTGATTCCACCACTTACTACTATGCATGACCTTGGCCAAATCATAGCTGTTGTTTCTTCATCTACATAATGACAGCACTGCTAAACCTCCAGGCTTTAGTTTCCTTAGCTATAAAATGAGAGGGCTGCTTTACTTCTCTGGGCTGGCATTTTCATCTGTAAAATGACAGGGGCTCCACCAGATGATCTAAGGTCCGTCCTAATATATGGCTATGATAACTCTAATGGTGGAATTTCAGGCAAGATGGAGGGAGATTAGTGAGCTATTTTGTAGGCTTCCCAGCATATCTCACCCCACCTCCAAATTAAACTCTATTCTACTCATGTATCTGGCCAGCTTTGTCTTCAGTACTGTCTGATGTGGCTATGATAATACAAACAAAAAATAATTTGAACACAAAATTTACATTGAGGCCACCCTGTTTGACATAAGCAGACACAAAAGAAATCAAGCCTCATTCAAGGAATTCAACCAGAAAACTTACAGTTTAATTAGGGAGACAGAAAGCCACATAGAAAAGACTTAAGAATGATCACAATGCAACATACAATTTCTACAAAACATTGACATTTAGGCATGAACATCTACCTTACAAACAACCCCCAAAGGTGAATGGTAAGACCAGTTGCATATTGCCCCACTTTTATCCCCTACCAATCCTGAGAGTCCTCTGCTGATGCCTCTCCACCAAAAGCCTACCTGCTCACATACCCTTCTCTAGAATGCTTACACCTAAGCAGGGCTGGACAGATTTGGTTTCTTACCCTATCCAGCCCTTCTTTCTTAGTCTCCTTTGCTGTGTCATCATCTTTTTTCCAACCCCTAACTGCAGACATGCCCTCAAGGTTCTGTCTGGGGCCCTCTTCTCTCTTTACTCTTTGCTTTGGTGACCTCATCAATACTGCTTGGGTTCATTTATCACCTCTCTGCAGATGAATCCCAAATCTGTATGTTTAGTCCTAATCTCTCCAGGACTTATGTTATCAACTTCCTGCTGGCCACCAGCACCAGGATGTACCATCGGCACCCCAAACTCAACATTTCCTAAACCTAACTATGCTCTTTTCTGAATTTCCAAAATCTTTTCAATCTTCTCTGTTTCTTGTCAATCTTATCAATCTTCCACTTTCTCCTCCTCAGAATTATCCCTGACTCTTCCTTCTTCCACAGTCCTCACATCCAATCAGTTGCCAAGCTGTACTAATTTTGCATCTGTGACTTCTCTCAAATTTGTGCTCTTCTCTCCCTCTCACTAGATGTGTGACCCTGGGCAAGTCACTTAACTATGTTTGCCTCAGTTTCCTCATCTATAAAATGAGCTGGAGAAGAAAATGGTGAACCACTCCAGTATCTTTGCCAAGAAAACCCCAAATGGGGTCATGCTGAGTTAAACACAACTGAAATGAATGAACAACTCCCCTCTCAGCCTTTCCCTGTGGCTTTGAGGCCACAGGTTCCCTACCCCTGAAGGTTTAGCCCATCCCCATTTTCACCTTTCACCCAAACCAATGGTTCTAAATGTTCTTTGTTCCAGGACCCCGGTTCAACTACAACATTGTGAAACCTCAAGGTAATTTACTGTACTAGTCATAATATTCTGCAGTGAGTTACTGCTTAAGGTCCCATTAAAGAACTTTTAGTGTGATCATGGCCCCATTAAATAGGAACTACTGACATAAACTATTGCAATAGCTTCCTAATTGGTATCCTAGCCTCCAGTCTCTCCTATCCCCAATTTAGTCTCCACACTCCGTCAGGTTAGTATTTCTACAACATAGTCTGACTCAAACATCTGCAGTGCACACCTGTTGTCTCTAAGATAGACACAAAATCCTCAGCCTGGAACTTAAAGCCTTCTCTAATATTGCACCCAGCTGCCTCTCCAGTCTTTTCAGAGAACTCCCCTTCTTGCACCTTCTTCTCTAAGTCAAAACGTCCTACTCACCAAGTACAACATTTGAGCTCTGGGCCCAAGTCTTCGTAGAGCTGATCACCTAGGTTTGAAAAGGACTGCATCCTTCCTTCCACATCTTAGAATTCCAAGTTTCCTCCAAAGCATTAGTTTAGGTGATGCTT